TGAATCTACTCGCCCGTGGCAAGTAGATTTCAGCCAGTCGCCCCATTCACTGGCGGCACACGCATGTGCAATGCGGGTCTCGTGCATGCTCAGTGTGGAGCTGGTGAGTAGGTTTCGTCGCCGTTTGTCAAGCCCTGAAGATAAGCATCTACATTTATTAAAGTAGCCTGATTTTCAGAGGTACTGAATTCCTGTCTATTTCTTTGGGAGCTCTGGACCAGCAGCATCTTTGAATCAGCCCCCTTTTACTGATGTACCTAATTTTAATCACTTAAGTTTGAAAATGTTTGTCCTGGCACCAGGTTTAACATTTATTTTGTTATTCCCTAGTTCTTGTCCATATCTCCGTCTCTTTCTCATTTCACCTTTCTCATATCTCATGCCTCTCTGTAAACCATCAGCAGTGAATACCAGTTGCACACAGAAAGGTCGAACACTGGTATGGTTCTACAAACCGGTAATTTTTTGCCTGCATAATTATCTTTTTGTTTCAATTTCAAAAATTACTTTTCGTTTTCAACTCCTAAAATTGTTACGTAGTTGGTATAGCTTGGAGAGTTAAGAGATAGTTGCATTTCAGTAGTAGGCAAGTCATCTTTATGAATATAGGGCAACATTTGCAGTGCAGTAGTTGGAGGAACAGGGCATAAATAATCTTGCCTCTCCCTGTGACTCACTGTTACAGCAGGAGGGCAGGATTCCAACACAGAACTCAGAAAAGCATTAGGATGAGAGATTAGCTAGTGCATCAGTTTGTTTACAAAAGAACCCACTGTTCTATAGTTAATGTCCAAGAACACATGACTCCCTCTTGGGAGCATAACCATCAGAGAAACACACAGGTGAAGTCCTAGAAGGGACCAAATAGGTCATCTAGTCCAGTCCCCTGCATTCAAGGCAAGGATAAATGACAACTTGACTATAGGTGTCTGTCTAACCTGTTCTTTAAAAACTCCAATGGCAGAGATTCCATGACCTCCCTAAGCAAGTTGTTCCAGTGAGTAACTACTTTGACAGGAAGTTTTTCCTCGTGTCCAATTTAAACCTCTTTTGCTGCAATTTAAGTACATTGCTTCTTATCCTTTCTCAGAGGTTATAGAGAACAATTTTCACCTTTCTCCTTGTAACAGCATTTATGTACGAAAAGAGTTCTCATGTCTCCTCAGTTGTCTCGGATTAAGCAAAACCATTTTTTTCAGTCTTTATAGGTCATGTTTTCTAGAACTCTAATAATTTTTTTTGCTCTCCTGTGGACTTTCTCCAGTTTATCCACATCTCCCCTGAAACATGGCATTCAGAACTGGACAAAATTCACCAGTTCAAGCCTCATCATTTATTGTGTCTTGCTCATAGTTCTCCTGATAGGTCCCAGAATATTTGCTTTTTGCAACAATGTGACACTCTTGACTCATATTTAGCTTTTGATTTGCAATAACCTCTAGATCCCTTTCCACAGTACTCCTTTCTATTCATTTTCCATATGTGCAGTTTATTGTTCCTTCCAAAGTGAAGTACTTTGCAATTGTTCTTATTGAACTAGCCAATTAGCCCATCATAAGACGGGATTTTCACGTCTCTCCTCCATGGCAGTCTTCTCTCCTGAGCCTCCGGTCTCTCTCTCTCTCAGCTCTCGTACGCCTCCTGCCTCTCTCTCTTTCTCTTCTCCTCCCCCTCCTGCCTCTCACTTGGGGGACCGCAGAACTCAAATGGCCTTTTGGGCTCCGCGCTCCTCGTGCTGCATGGGGAATGTGGAGCCCAAACGGTCGCTTGCACCACTTGCTCTCACGTGGCGGCCTGGCTGAGCGGTGCTGAAATCAGCCGAGCGCCATGGCAGGAGGCGAAGGGGGGCGGGGTGGTGATGTTCGCGGCCAGGGGGCGGGGCCTGGAGCTGCTGTCACGCTGCACATCACTGCCCCACCCCCTTCCTCTCCCGCCGTGGCACTCGGCTGACTTCTGCACTGCTGAGCCAGGCCACCACAGGAGAGCAAGCAGCCGTTTAGGCCCCACACTCTCCATGCAACTCAGGCCACCCAAAAGGAACACCCAGCATTTCAGGTAACAGCACCACCCAGAGGGAACAGCCAGCATTTCAGTGTTACAGACTCTCAGACATTGGGCTACTATATATATGATGTAATCCTATTTACCTCAGACCATTTCTCCAGTTTGTGTAGATTATTTTGAATTTTAATTCTGTCATCCAAAGCACTTGCAATGCCTCCCATCTTGATAATCTTCTACAATCTTTATTCAGATTCGACCTCCCTTGTCTGGCACCCTCAGGACCTGACCTGTCCCAAAGGAGGGAATTTGCTGGATCGGGGTGGGCCCTGACACTGGCCTCTCAGGGCACTTCCCTTTCCTGAGAGCTCCTCAATTGTGGGGTTGCCCGGCTGCCCCGCTGCTGCCCCACCCAGCCAGGGCTTCCCGGGGACATGTCTCGCTGGTTCTGCTGCTGTCCTACACGGCTAAGGCTCCCCGGGTGATCTAGGTGTTTGCAAATTGTTTGCTTAATTATTTGCTCCATTTTTCAATGTCATGAAGTTAAACTGATTGTTTATGATTCCCCAAGTTGCTTTTGTTCTCCTTTTTATGGACTGACACTATATTTCCATCTTCCAGTCCTCTGGAATATCTCCAATCTCTCATCAGCAGTTTTAAGGGCATGGTGCATGTGAATTTGCCCCCATTTGTTTTTAAAGGATCAGTAAGGAGTAGCACAGCACATAAACTTGTTCATCCTCCCTCATTTAGGGTACATCCACACTTTCTGAATAAGCTATTGTGAAAGAGATACTCCAAAATAGCTTATTTTGAAATAGCACGTCTACACTACAGGGAAGCCAGGAAATTAGTCCAAGGCAGGCTCCCCTAATGTGGATGCACTACCTCAATTTAGAGCCCCAGAAGCACTGGGGGGTAATTACTTTGAATGGCCTGGAGGAGGAGCTATTTTGAAATAGCAGCAGTAGAGCGTCCACACTACAGCTATTTCAAAATATCTGTTTTGAAAGAGGTATTATTCCTCGTGGAATGAGGTTTACAGAATCCAGAATAAGCCACCCATTATTTCAAAATGTGTAGATGCTCGCAAATTTATTTCAGAATAACGTCTGTTATTCCAAAATAACGCTGCCATGTAGACACACCCTAAGCTACCTTGAGTCATCTTGCCACATACTAGTAGAATGGCCCTACACATGGCCAAACCCCTTCATTCTCTGTAAGGGTCATATTTTACCCACAACCTTTAAAGGAATTTTTATCCTCCTTTAGCCAGGAGAATTCTAAGAGTAATCCGGTTAATACTTGTGTTGTTCAAATAGTAATATTTAGATGAGTTGGCTGTTGTCTCTGGGTTGTGCTTGGCAGCAGTTACGGCATCACTTTATATAGCTCACAAAGGAAGCACCTGCACTTAACATGAACTATTAGTTTCTAGCTAAAGAAGAAATACACAGTCATCATAACTGCATCAGACTAAATATTACTGAAACAATGCAAATACAGTCATAATTTTTATAATGTAGAAATCCATTGCATTTTTCCCCCATTCAATTAAATTACATCTCTGCCAGTTTGGGGCCATGGGTACCCATAATACTAGGTTTAACTGCACTTCTTGATTAACTTTATATACCCGAATGAAGCTAGGTTTCAACTCCACAATTCTCCGTGCTACCTGCTGACTTGTTACAGCCTCCCTTTGAAGGACAGGATACACCATGGCTTCAAGGACCTCTAACTAGTTTCCAAAGGCAATACTCAAAAGGCAAGCTTTGTTGCTTGTTGACAAATACATGTTTACTATTACTTGTCATCTTATTATTATCTAGGTCGGGGTGGGGAATCTCAGACCCAGGGACTGGATGTGGCCTTGGCTTGCCTGGAGCTTGTGCTGTCCCTCTCCCCATGGGGCTGGAGCACACAAAATCTACTAGACTGGGCCCCCTAGGCTTTGGTGTGCCTGTAGAATAGGGAGTGTCTTTCTGCTTCTCAGTTAGGGGCCACATCAGTGAGGTATACAACAGGCAAGCCTCAAAAGTTAGGCCCCCACTACCATGCTTTTTAAAATTACATATTTGGAAGAGGGGTGATTATTTGCCTTCTGGTTTCCAAGCCTTCATCATACAAGCATCTTTGCAACCTTGAGGGCTAGAAACATTGTTTTTTAAATGAAAGTTGAGATTCTCATATAATCACTTGACTAAGCAGGGGCTTTGCTATAAGGAAAAGCATCAAATATCATGTAATTTGTAGTGAAGTCACAAATGTTGGCAACACTACATTGGATCTGCACACACTGTCAAGTGATTTAATGAGTCTATTTCCCATGCTGAAAAACTAGAAGTGCTTAGCTGTAGCATGCAGAAACTACAATACCTGTATTCACATGGCTATAGAAAAAATATTTCCTTCTTTAAGACTATATGCAGTCACCATAGAATTTTGCAGCTCTTCATAAATAGTGACCTACTTCAGGACACTTAGGATACATATTAACTTCTCAAAAGAAATCAAAACGCTATCAGTTTCATTTATGCACTCTGGGCTTCTGCTTATTGTATTAGTTATATATAGCCTATATATAATTATGAAGTGATATAAGTTGATGGAAATTTGTATGTTAATACTGATCAACTCCTTCAGTTGGAAGTAAAAAAGTGTAAGGGACATTCACGTGCTTATTTTAAAGGGCACTTCTGTTCAATTACAGCCCTAAATTTAGGTTGTGGGAAAGCTTGTTTTTTAAAAATGTAAAATGACCATGACATTTAAAGAAACAGAATAGAAATCCCATGTTTGTAAAAAAAAAAAAAAAAAAAAAAAAATCTCCTCTATGCTTCACAGCTCAACACTACAGGCTCCTGGTAGTACATGAGTACCTAATAGGGGTTTTTTTTTTTAGTAACCAGCTAATCAAAAGTAAAAGATGAATCATCATCCAAGCTGAGGAATGCAAAAAGTGAACAAAAATAGTTTTATTTTAAAATGTTCTGTTCTTTCCGTTTTAATAAACCAACATATTATTTGTAACATAGGTAAGATTATTTGATTTTTACCCTGATGTTATCCAAGTGGAAGTTTTATATCATAGCTGCACGAGTCATCCTCTATAGTGGTGACACTATACTATACAACATAATGTAAAATGTAAGGCTTAACTAATTTGACAGTGTCTCCATATATATATGTGATACAGTGATTGTGTGTTTAGTGGAAAAATGTTGATGCTTACATAAAGATAGCAGATACCTTAAGTAACGTCTTCAGTCCTTATTCCCACAGCAGTATCTCTAGGACAGGGGGTAAAAAACCCAGACTTTGAAGTGTCTGGTCCCATCCAGGGACCGCACTGGATATGTTCCTTGCCCCACATAACCAGATACATCTGAGAGAAGTGAAGTGGAGAAGACTCATACTCATGACACACCTTTGTGACAGAAGAGGGAGATAAATATGCGCACATTATGGCCCAAATTATGACTGCTCTTCTGGGGAAGTGCCATGGAGGGGAGAATACAAGGGAACACTCACTGACATGACTACAGTATTTACTTCCAAAGGAGATGTTACTAGTTAGGCAGCAGGCAGCTACCCCTGACACCACCACAAAAAACCAAACACAAAAACAAAAACAAAACAAAACAAAAAACTAGATAGTGTCAGAGTACTACTGGGAGGAGCTCGCTCTTCCTGGTATTTTTTGGAGCCCTCTTCCCTCTCAGATCTGTGCCAATTATGTAATCCCAGGTAAAGAGTTTACCCACCTCTCATTTGGGGAATATGAAGCTTAGTTCATGAATTTCCCATTTCTTTCCTTTTTAACCAATACATCACAGTGTACTACTACAGCCCCTATTCCTCACACTGGAATGATGTACCACTTTTGGGTACTATAAGAACTTTTAATCTTTCCTAAGCATTCATATAGTTCTTAGAACCATACATTTGACACATTTTTCACAACATTTATCAGATTCACTAGAAAGGATCCATTTGTTGATTAAATTTGTGTCTTAAAAACACCATTTCTATCCAATAAACTCGGACCAAAGGAACCATTTACAGACTAAAAGATAAACAGAAAAATCATGTACATTAGGCAGCAATGTAGGGTTACAAGCCAATACTTTCTTCTTAAATTAATATTAAATTAAACATATTGCATTCTTATCTTCCATCTCAGCTAGAACTCTACTACCATGATGTTTGGCACAGTAACATAAACTAAAGAATTGCATAAGACATTTCAAGATGTTTTTTCAAGATGGTCTTATAAAATAGTATAGTGTATGTATTCACCTATTCTCTCAATGTCTGTTTCCTCTTGGTAAGTGCTCTCCATTGCTGTCATAAGCTAGAAAATACTGCTGGTCCTAGGCCACAATTAAAGGTGCAATATTACATTTGTTTTAACTAAATGTGTGCTTTATAACAAAGGAAACTTTCAAAAGTGCTCCTCCATTATCTTTTCTGGCCAGCAAGTTATTCTGTGAATTCTTGCAGCTTTTCTAGAGCTACGAGTACATAAGACCTATGTAGGAGGCGTGGATACAGGAGCTGCTGCTCCCTGTGTACTCTTTCATTTGGAAGAGCAGTTCTTTAAGCTACAACTATTAAAAGAATACAGAATTAAGAAGGTAAGTTTACTTCCCCCAACCTCCTTTTTGGGGGGAGGGTGTGCAGTGCCATACCTGCTGCAATGGCAGATTTGCCACTGTGATAAGTGTTAAAATAGAACGTAGCTACAGCCACAAAGGTTAAAGTAAAAGAGACCAATCCTTCAGTCCTTACTTAAGAAGAACTCCCACTGAAACCAAATGGAAATTTGAGTCAAGTAAAGTAAACAGGACTGGTCCCCAGTATGAGCAGCTTTAGGATTTTGCCTTAATATACCTGAAACTTTATATTATATTGGCATGGCAGAAATTAAATAAAAGTATTTTCTTCCTCTGACTGTAGAGGATCAGATTCTTAAACTAAGCATATAAATAAAGTCCTTCATTTACATACACTGTTCCTGAATTATTATAAAAATACCAATGCAACAAAGCAGTATTACAAAATAATATCTTTATAGAAAGTTATTTTGAAGATATATGTTGAGGTAAAATACAATAAAAAGCCCAAATGATAGGGCATTACCAGTGTTATGGAGAAGTTTGGGTAAAGTTTTGCCAGAAGACTATTTTACAAAAACTATTTTTTACTTACCAGTTGGTAAGGCTCTTATTGCTATCAAACTTCAAAATAAGAATTTTCAACTTACAAATTGAAAAAATATATGAAGTTAGATTTGTATGAATGTAATGTATTCTGTCAAATTTTTAAAAAGTAATTATATCAAGTTTTCTTGATTTTTTTACTAAGCAATTTGATTGTAGCATGTACATAAACTGCACTATACATTTTACCTGACACTATGCATGAAAATCAGCATAAAAAACTAAGTTTATCAAAGTTTAACTTCACAAGGAGAACATGAAAAAAGTGCATATTATGTACCCAACATTTCTGTCACAACTGATTTTTCTGAATATGGCCTGGAAAAAAACTTTTACAGCATATATTAAGATAATTCTTACAAGAACATATATTCACCTCAATATTTATATACAATATTTTGCTCAAAGTGCTCTCACTATGAAAAAACTGACTGGATAAAAATATTTAAACAGTGCTTTTTTGAGGTGTTGGGAGGAAAATCCATGTAATACATTAGGCCCATTTATCTTCTTCAGTCAGTGCAACAGGAGCCTTGTTGTCAATAGAACAGAACTTCTATTGCCATAAGATCCACTGCTACAGTGGTACTCTAGGTGTGCCATTAGGGGTGGATCTTTTATTTCTTTGCATCTGACTCTGATGTTTTCTAGATTTCACTACTTTCATTCTCACTTCAAATACTTCGTGTATGGCTTTGCGAAAACAATGGAAGTTGTAGTCTATTAGTCCTAGAAAGAGAGACAAAAAGGAAAAAAATAAATTCTAAAATCTTTGTAAATATTAAAATATTCTGTCAAATGAACTTGTTTTCCATATTTTATTTACTAATATTATTCACTTAGCTGGCCTAGGACTACAGTAAATCAATCTTATCAACAACAATTTTTCATTTACTGCAAAAGCACATTTAATATTAAAATAGAATTATTTACAGTGTAGCATCTCATGGTTCTGTAATAGATTCATGTTACTTAATATATTTATTAATGATCTGAAAAGCAGTGGTGGTGGTGAGAGAGAATAATGAAGCAAAATTTGCATGTAACAGAGTTATTTAACTTGGGCCTGGTCCACGCGTCGGGGAGCCCCTGACCCTGCACCCTCATCCGCAGCCAGATGCGAGACTCTGCCAGCCAGTAGAGTAAAGCAGCATAGGCTTAATGTTGACACGGGAGCCAGGGCAGAAAGCCTTAGTTATCTTGGGGGGAGGGGAAGGGGTTCACAGGACCCTGACCCCCCCTGTCCTGGACTTAGTCTGCTCTCTTCATGCTTCCCCCAGCCAAGGCTGACTCAACTCCCAGCCACTGGTCCCTTGGCCTCCAGGCAGCCATGCCCTTTGCTATATTCAGATAGCCTCCACCTAGCCCAGGTGTCAGAAGGCTGGGCCATTGCCTACGTGCTACCCCTCAGGGACCATTCCCCAGTGGGCACTGTACACAGACACACACAGAGTCTCTGCAGACCAGTATAGGGCAGTAGGAGTCACACACAGCACAACAGAGCAACCAGTGAATGCAAAACCAGAGTGGATCCAGGGCCACAAGAATGGACAGCATCCCCACTACATCACAGTAGTATCTCATGGTTCTGTAATAGATTCACATGTTACTTAATATATTTATTAATGATCTGAAAAGCAGATGTGGTGGTGGTGAAAGAGAAGAATGAAGCAAAATTTGCATGTAACAGAGTTATTTAACTTGGGCCTGGTCAATCCTTAAAAATAAGATCAACCTAGGTACATCACACAGGGCAAGAACAAGTTTTGTGATGTGTGCAATGTACCAAAGTTGATTTAACCCCCACTGTAAATGCAGCTATGTCAGTGGAAGAATTCTTCCATCAACTTGATTATCACCTTTCAGAGAATGAACCACCTACATACACTGATGGAAAAACCTCCTCCCACCTAAATAGGAAGCTTGTACACTATAATAGCTATAGATACAGTCCCATAAGAGGAACTTCAGAAAGACTTAAACAAGATAAGTGAACAGACACCATGGTGGCAACTGAAATTCTATGTCTATAAATGCAAGTAATGAATATCAGAGCAAAAAAATTAAAAATTATTTATAAACCAAACGGGTCTAAATTAACAGTATCAGCTCACAGGTGAGGCCTCTGCATCACTGCAGACAGCTTAATGAACGCTTCTGGTTAGTGTGCAAATAAGTTAAAAAAGTGAAGAGGTATTACAGGCCCCGAACCCCTCTGTCCTGAATTTAATCTTATAACACTTTTTATATTAATCAATGTTGTGATAGCATCTGGAATACTGTATGCAGTACTGGTTATCCAGTCTCAAGGGTATTGCTGAACCAGAGGAGGTTCAGAGAAAAGTGAAGAAAATGATAAAGAGCCTGGAAAGACTCCCAGGGTACGTCTAGACTACAGGGTTTTGTAGACAAAAGTGGCCTTTTGTCAACAAACCTATACCTGCGTTATCACTATCCCCACGTTCTGTCGACAGTAAGTCAACAGAACACAGCAGTTTTGTCGACAGCAGTAGACCTCATTTTACGAGGAAGAACACCTTTGTCAACAGAGATCTGTCGACAAAAGGTGTGTGTGGACACAGGCAGCCAGTTCTGTCGACAAAAAAGGCCCCCAGGAAGAAGCCCTGGTGGACACTCTAGCCTTTACAGGTACAGCACCTTTGTGGTTCCTGGCCGCAGCCTCTTAAAGGCACAGGCACGCGGCAGCTAGCCAGAGCACCCGTGCCAACCATGTCCCAGCCTCAAGGCCCCCCTGGCCCATCTTGGGACAGAGAGGAGGACCCACCTAGGGGCACCGAAAGGCAGGCACCAGCCTGGTCAGGGCCAGAAATCAAAAACCTCCTGAAGCTCTGGTCCCAGGAAGAAGCCCTGCAGGCCATGCAAACATGCCGCAGGAATGTGGACATTTATGAGCACCTGGCCCAGGGACTGGCCACCAAAGGGCATCACTCCTGCACCATGGCACAAGTCAGGGCCCGGGACCAGAGCTCCCGCTTTGGGGCAGCCCCTAAGACCTGCCCTTACCACGAGGAGTTGGAGCAGATCCTGGGCGGTGGGGAAGCCCAGACTCCACTGCATGTGGTGGAGTCCGGGTTACCCCACCACACTGTGGACCAACTTCTCCTGAGGTAGGAAGACCAGGCAGGAGAGGTGGGAGAGCTGCACCAGGAGGAGGAGGAGGAAGAGGAGGCAGCAGGGACCCAGACGCCAGAGGCCTCCCAGGCGTCTATGGACATCGGGGAGGGAACATCAGGTGAGTGCTTTGAGGGGTCACCAGACACGGGCGGGTTGGCAGTATGGGGGGCCATCTAGCCCCATTTCCACTGTGGGGTCCCTGTGAGGCTTTCAGGCCGCTGCCTAACTCACACGCAGTGTCACGTCTAACACCCCTGAGTCTCCTGTCCAAAGCAGAGCCTCTGACAGCCACAGCATGTCCTCGGGGACAGCAAGGATGCACACAGACAGTGATTGTCTCCTCCTCTTTTCCTCCACAGCTGGATCTACCCAACAGGGGAGCACCACACCCGCCCCACCACCATCCCGGACCCATGGCACCCGCAGGCACTGGCGTGTGTACACGGACCTGCTGGGGGAGCATGTTGTGGCACTGCAGGACCTCAACAGGACCCTTCTGCACAGGACACAGGCCGAGGCCAAGTGGCACACCAGGCTGCTGGACGAGGTGGTCCAGCAGCACACTGACATCTGTGCCACAATGCGGGAGGTTTTCGCCTTGCCTTCCCCTGTCATGGGCACCGCTCCTCCTGCATGCCAGGCCCCTGCTCCCCCATATCCTCTAGCCCCTCCAGCCTCCTTTTCTCCCCTCAGCTTCCCCTGTCCCCCCGCTCCAGAGTCTTCACAGGCCCAACAGCTGTCCCTTCCCTCCTGCTCAGGCCAGGACTAGGTCTCACTCCAGCAGATCCCAAGGCCATGGCGATGCCAGGATGCAGGAAAGTGGCAGGACCCTGTGATCAGGGAAGCAGTGGCCTACTTGAGCTCCCCTCTCCTCTCCAGGCTTCCAGTCCCCTACCACCACAGTTAAAGGTCATTTCAGTTATATAACAAAATCTTTATTTTTGAGTGAAAGATTTACCTTTACACATTTGAACAGTACACAGAATTTTTTTTAAACAGTTAGCACATTTTCTTTACTGATAGTGTTTCTAATAAAAAACCAATGTCTGTGTACAAAGAAAACGAGGCGTGTATGTATTCTTTATGGAAGGAGAATGAGGTTAAACTGCTGTGGTGTCTGAGGAAGCAGGGCAACCAGAGCAAGAACTGCAGCAATTTTGCTTTCCCTCTAGGAGGTAGGCAAGCCAGAAGCAGGAGCAGAGCAACGGCTGTCCAGGGGGATCTCTTTAAGCACGCATCTCTGCAAAGGGCATTCAGCAGCACCTGGAAATAGAGGCTGTCCCCATGTCCTGCCAGAAGCACTTCCGGGTGCCTTCTCTTTTCAACAGAGCATGCAGCAGTCTGGATGCTCTTTTTCAAAAAAGCAGATCGATTTGTCGAGCCGCATAATGTAATCTGGATACTCTTTTTCGACAGAGGCTGTGTCGACAGAAACTGTCAATAAAGCCTGTGTCGAAAAAGGCATGCAGTCTAGACATAGCCCCATACCAGTGGTCCCCAACCTTTAGAGGATCCCGGGCGCCCAGGGGCGGGGCCACTCGCGCGCCGCGGAGCCCGCAAGTGAGCAGCCCAATCAAGAGCAACAGGACTCACTGTCACATGACTGTGGGGGGGGGTGTAAAATGACAATCTACAAATTAACAGCCTTGGGAGACGCAGGGGTTCATATAGGCTGCAAGGCCAGAAGGGGCCACTGGGACCACCTAGTCTGAGCACCCATATAATAACATGGCCCATAGAACAGTGATCCCCAACCTTTTGGGGCTGCTGGGCGCCCGGGGGCAGAGCCATTCATGTGCTGTGTATCCGGGAGCAGGGCTGCTCACTGTCCATGTGCCCGGGGGCAGGGCCACGCATACTCCGCACGCCCAGGACAGGCATCAGCATGTGCCATGCATGACCCCAGGCAGGGGCCACCCATGCACCCGGGGCTTGCACCGGCATGTGCCGCAACCCAAAGCAGGGATAGCCCATGCACCTGGCGCCCAGGGCTGGCACCAGCATGTGCTATGTGTCCGGGGCGGGGGCATCCCAGTTTGTTCCGCGGGCACACATAAATGACCTGGCGGGTGCCATGGCGCCCGCGGGCACTGCGTTGGGGACCACTGCCTGATACAAAGAGAATATACTGGAGGTCTTAACACTATAGTGCTAGCACAGCAAATTTTGGATTACATCTGACAGACTTCCTTTGGAATTCTTTACAAGTTCATGACTACTAGTGTTAGCACAACTTGCAATCTTACTATATATTTTAGAAATTAGGGATGTGAACAGCTAGTCAACTATTCAATAAGCAAATGCTTATCAGATAGCTGACACACTAGTTGACTAGTCGCTTCCCTCCTGCTTGCTGCCTTTATCAGAAAGGGGCAGCAAGGGGGGGAGGGATTGGAAGCGGTACTTCAAAGCGGCAGCACCACTTGGAGCCTGGGGCAAGACCTGCACCCCCTCTTAAGCCCGCCCTCAGGCCAGAATCCTTCTCCGGCATCCATATCCCCCTCCTGGACCCAGCACCGTAGTCCCCTACCCTAGGTCACAACCAAACCCTCTGAATCTTCCTCCCCTCTGCCCCACGTCACAACTTCCCCCTCCCCAACCTTCCATCCCTGCTACACCTTTCCCCCAGGCAGACCCTGCACCCCAATCCTCTGCCCCAGATCACAACCTGCTCCTTCACCCAAACTCCCTCTCAGACCCCACACCCTCTCCTACACCCCAGTCCCTCACTCCAAGCTCCCATTTGTACCCAAACTCTATCCCAAACCCTACAGCCCCTCCATAGAAAAGTGCTGCTCTAGACCACTTACCAAAATCTTGGTGTGGCTCCCCATCAAAAATTATTGCTCACCCTTGAATTAAGAAAACTTTATTTTGCAATGCCTGCAGTGAAGCCTCCCCAGGAACAGGGCTGCCAGCCTCTGCCAACCAAACTCCTGTGGAGGCAGCTTCCCTGCCACAGAGAAGCTCCCTCCTCAGGAGCTGGGTGGCCAGCCCTTGCCAGCTCCACTTCCAGGGAGGGGACTTCTCTGCCCTTGCCCTACTGGCTGCAGGGAGGAGGATTCACTGCCCTGCCTCAGCGAAGCCACCTCTCTGTGAGCTGGCTGAGTAACCAACACCATAAACCAATAAGCTTCAACTTATCGGTAAATGATTAGTTAGTTACACTGTGACATCCCTAGTCTGTATGTTCATCTGTAAGTCTGTTTGTTCAAGAACTCCTCCTGAGTGATAAGAGCTAGGACCTCCAAATTTGTGTGCAGCTTCCTCTTATCATAACTTAAAGCAAGGTCAGGATTTGATTGTGCCAGGATAGTGGGATGTGCATCAAACACCATTGTTTCATACTGAATGGAAAGGGAGGGATGAGATAGCAAGGACAGTTATACTCACACTTGACCACAAGGGAGCAAAAGCCCCAGCAAACAGCTGTTGGCCAGCAGCACCCCCCACCACAGCCTGCCCAGGGGCTCGTCCACTCCTGAAGAGCACTGGAGGACACCCTGCACAGCCTCCCCCCACTGGGGAGAAGCTGGAGGGCAGGGTTCACAGTTCTCCCCCTCCCCTTGGGATGAACCAGCAGGTGGCGTGTGTGGCCCCTGCGTCCTGGGACCGGCCCCAGGAAGAAGCAGTGGACACTCCCCTGCCCTGAATCTCCACCCCCTGTCGTGAGCTCATCTTCGCCCCAACCCTGACTTCTGCACACCCGAGTTTCCTACATACCCAACCTCCTGTCCTAAGTCCTGCACACCCTGTACCACCACACCCCTGCCCTGAAGGAACTAGGTAATGCTGGATAAGTCTTCTTGCACTAAAAATATAAGAGTTAATTCCAGCTTTAGTTCTAACGAAATATCCCAGTTTGATACCACCAAAGACACAAAGCTACATATTAATACCAACTCTGATCAATCATTCCATGTTGATAAGATACCCGCTATGACTGGGATTCTATAAAATGAGACAGACACGTTCTCCAATCAATTCACTGAAAAGGGATAACACCAGTATTGCTGATTACTATATACTGACCTGCTTACGGACACTAATCCTGAAGAGAGAAAGTACATTCTAAGGCTAAGATGATAGCTCATTCTCTAGGGTTCAGTCTATGAGACAGTCAAGTATGGTTATTAGAACCAACAGTAATGGTGAATTGTAAGACATACATGTCAACTCAAAGGGCCAGGGCCCAACAGGGTTGTGGATTTGCTTCAAGACAGAGTCTATTAGGGATAGTTGCTTTTATTAATCTCACTACGTCACTACTATTACAGGCTTAATACTGTCAGATGGTTACATGGCTACTGCAAAGTAATATGTCAATAAGCACAGGCAGTGCAACGCATAAAAGAGTAACAGGCACTTGGAAATGCTTATGCCCCTTCAGTCTGCGGGGAGTCCCGTTCCAGTCACCTAGCACCTGGCTGCAGTGGACATGCTCCAGCTAGGGGGATCCAGGGCACCCTTTAAGGTCTAGGTCCCTGGTGAGACTCACAGAGGGGCGGGACTCCCAGATCTTATACTTTAGGGCTACGTCTAGACTGGCATGATTTTCCGCAAATGCTTTTAACGGAAAAGTTTTTCCGTTAAAAGCATTTGTGGACAAAAGCGTCTAGATTGGCACAGACGCTTTTGCGCAAAAGCACTTTTTGCGGAAAAGCATCCGTGCCAATCTAGACGCAGTTTTGCGCAAGAAAGTCCCGATCACCATTTTCGCCATCGGGGCTTTTTTGCGCAAAACGGTTCTCAGTTGTCTACACTGGTCCTCTTGCGCAAAAGCATTTGCGCAAGAGGGCTTTTTCCCGAATGGGAGAATCATTGTATTTGCGGACGAACACTGACAATCTTACATTAGATCGTCAGTGTTCTTGCGCAAATTCAAAGCGGCCAGTGTAGACGCAGCCTAGCTGTTTACTGAGTGTATGTGTGTTGGCCTAATGCCACTCATGTTATTTATCCCATACTTGGCTCTCAACTAGCAAGCATAGGGAGTTGCAGCTGATGAAGGCCATCTGATAAAGAACACCTGGTATTTTTGCCAGCAGGGCTCATGGCTGGCCAACAGGAATAAAAATTTAACCCCTGCAGACCTACATATGGCTTTTTATGTGACAATACAACAGACACCTCTCCACGAGGAATCTGACGAAGACCAACAGCTGAATACATGCAGGCCATGATCAGGGATAGTGATCCAGAGTTATTAATACTCACCTTGGCAAGAGAGTCAGAATAATTACTCAAAAATTGACATACAAAACCTTTAAAAAAAATCTCAAAGAGGCCAAAGCAAAACAGGTCTTGATGAAAAAAAGACAGGACTCAAACGATTTTCCCTTGAGTTCTATAGATAGGGTATTACAATTGTATATTATAATGCCAAGAAGTGCACTGCAAAATTAGCAAAGATGTGCTGAAAAAATCATTATTTTTGTATTAGTACAAATGGAAGTCTTATTGCATATGACATTTAATTGTATGGCTTTCTTTCATACCATAAAGTTAATATATTTATCATTTCATCTTATCTGCATGGCAACACAACAGCTCATGCTTTTAAGCACAATCATATGAAAGCTATATCAAAATATGCTTTTATTTGATATTTTTGAAACCACTAGAAGTGATACCATCAGCTACAGACAATATCACAGATACTCTTTAGCTCATGAATATGGAGTAAAAAAAATTTTTAAATACCTTTTCGCTCAAAACTTTCTTCTCTCACAAAGCAAACAAGAGCAAGGAATTTTGTCACTTCCTTTAAATAAAGGACAGTTGTATTGTTCAGTTTTATAATTGCTGTTGACTCTTTGTCATAAGGTGTGCCTGCACCATCTTCTTTGAGCCTAAATTTTAAAAAAATGTAGAAAGTCACTGAACAAATTTAAAATTATTTGTCTATCTAGAACCTCCCATCTAAATATCTCAAAATGCGATAATGAAAAATTGAGCTCCCCAGCTTTTCTGTGAGATAGATATTATCCTTTTTTACTAAATATAAAAAATTGAGACAGAGAGAGGGATTAAAGGACTCGTTTAAAGTCACATAGGAAGTCTGTGAGAGTTAGGAGCTGAACTTGGTTATCCTGCCACATACGTGAAGTATACCACACTTCTGTCCCATCTGCTATAGACTAATTTACCACAAGCTTGTTTGCATTTTTATTAATATACAACACTCTGATCTTAGTTCAAATAAAGAGTATGTAACAATTACTCTGTTCTGGCCTCATAATTCTGAGTTCAGTAACTTGATTTGGGCAGTGATTGCTGACTGATATTTCAGGTCAATGCATTAAATTTCCCACAATGCACCTACTTGTGCAAAAGTGTACCAAGAGGAGTGACTTCTTCCTGAGTCCGGCTGATAGCCAGCAAATACCTGTGATAAACATTGTAATTTGATAGCAGAAGTGTAAATGCTCATGGCAATTTTATTAATCTAAATGGGTAATGCACCTCAGTCTCATGAACTATTTGCATCTTGGAGCAGCAAGTTCAAGAGTCTATATTCTGTGGATATGCATTTCCTTTTACATGTGTCTTCAATTCATTATGGGTACGTCTACACTTGCTCCCTAGTTCCAACTAGGCATGCAAACGTAGGCGACCGAAATTGCTAATGAAGCGGGGATTTAAATATCCCACGCTTCATTAGCATGATTTCGCTGGCACGTTACTCCACTCAACAGCTGTTTCGAAAGTGAACGTGCGCATCCGGATGCGTTAGTTTGAACCAAATCCCTTGTTTGAACTAGTGAGCAAGTGTAGACGTACCCTATATGGCCTCTTGGTCTTGTATTTAGGGAAAGGTCAAACGTCCATCAGAGCAGCTTCTCTACAGTTTAATGTCTATCACTACTCTTCTCCCTCTCCCCTATATCTGTACACTAATCCTAATCAGTTAAAAAAAGCTTTATACTTAAGTCTTACTTTATGTCTCTAAACTACACTACATCTCAGTAAAATGACAAATAGAGATTTGTAACTGGTCACAAATGCTAACACAGTTATTTAAAGAGTGCATGGTAGAGTCACATTTTTTGAACACATATGTAAGGTGCCATGCCCACTAGTGGTGCACAAGTAATACATTAGATCTGTTTATTTATGACGTCCAGAGCAGCTGCTTTTTCCTTAAAATATAGTGTCCCTAATTATTGTATGAATTTGCAAGGCACAGGCTTTTGTAAGATTAGTGAAGCATCTGACTTTGTGCAATCTGAAGTAAAATATAAGTTTAGGGGCTAGCCTCCCCTAAGGGGTATTCCACCACTACCTATGATAGCAATACCACAAACCTCCCCTACAATAGTCTTTTGATGATCCCACAGCATTCTTTTGGGTCAGGACCCCCATGGTTATAACACCATGAAATTTCAGATGTAAATATCGGAAACCCATGAAATTGATTATTTTAAAAATCCTATAACCATGAAATTGATCAAAATGGACTCTGAATTTAGTAAGGCCCTAGCTATTATCATAGCAATTTAAAGCCTCCATGGGATTAAATGTATTTGTGATACCTTAGGTGATTTCCCATTTACTTCCTCATACAGTATTGTATTACCTGTAAATCTGCAATGTTTTACAATCATTCCAAGTTATAGGTCATTCTGGTTTTAGTTACTATATAATACAGTGGTCACCAACCAGTAGATCTTGGAGCCTCTGACAGGTGATCCTGACTGGTTTGGCCAAGAGGCTATGAATTGCAGGCACTTCAACTGTCCTTAACCCCAATGTTGCTCATCTCCTGCCTTTGGCTTGGAATTGCCCCTCCCCCGGGAGCCTCCTGCTTCCTGTGCAGGGCACGGGAGGGAGAGGAAGAGTACGGACGTCAAGGTGCCCCCTATCCCAACCTGTATCCTTTCTCCACAGAACAGAGAGGGGACACAACATGACTTGGAGGGAGTTTGCTGGCTGCTTTAGAGAGTGGTCCGGGGCCAGGGGAGGCGTGAGCCTGCCTTAGCCCCACTGCACCACCACCCAGGAGCCACCAGCAGTGCCCAACTGGGGCCCACATCCAAACTCCTACCCCAGTCATGAACCCCCTCCTTCACCCCAAGCCCTTGCCCTAACCCCAAGCACCCCTGTATCCAAACACTGTCCCAAAGCCTGCACCTAGAACTCCTTCTACATCCCAACTGCCTGCCCCAAGAGTAGCTCAGACCCCCGTCACACTCCAGATCCCTTAACCCAAGACCAGAGCTTGCACCCCAACCCTCTGCCCCAGCCTGATGAAAGTGAGTGAGGATGGGCTAAAGAGGGAGGATGGAGTGAGCAGAGGTAGGGCCTTGGAGAAGGGACACAAAGGAGGTGGGGCCAGGGTATTTATATTTGAGGCAGATCTTGTATTGCACTTAAATTCAAAAAGTGGTCTTGTGCTCAAAAAGGTTGGAGACCCCTGATATAATATAATCTGGCTGAGTGGTTGCCAACCTGGGGTCTGCAGACCCCTGGTGGTCCATGACTGTATTGCAGGAGGTTTATGGAATGTTTAAAAGTAAGGATCTGGCCAATCCTTACTTTTCTTTCCTTTTTTTTTCTCCCCCAGGGAAAAGGGACTGTGAAATTTTAACAGACTGAAAAGGAGTCAGTATGCTCGAAAAGGTTGGACCACTGCTCTAGCTTAATAAGGTGGCTAAAAAAGATTAACAAGCATGGTTTACAATAATCTACTTACCCATAGATGCAAGAAATATCAATAACCACATCTATCATATCACAGCAGAGCTCATAAGTTTGCATATCCACTGGAGTACTGTCTGTTGCAATATAGATTTTACTGACCACATCAAACAGAAATGCTTTCTCAATCCCAGAATTCTACAAACAAAAGAAAAATCTTCTTTAAAGGAACACTCTTCAAATAATACCAAATCTTGTATATCCCACCCCACCCCACAGACAACAATTACAAGTGAAAATGAATATACAATCATTTTTCAACATACATTAAAGCAGTTCCACATTTATAAGAGTGTAATTCCTAGAGGGGGTCCCTCCCACAGTCAAAATTGCACTGTGTTGGTCTGTACAAACACCAAAGGAGAGACCACATCAACCTAAGTATTTATAGTTCAATCCTCTTTAACACTAAATGTGGGGAACCAGAAAAGAAAAAAGAATGATAAATGCCGCTTCTCTAAACTGCAGAAAGCATAATAACTAGTTAAAAATGATTAGTCCTGTGGCACCTTGGAGACTAACAAATTATATATATATATAGAGAGAGAGAGAGAGACAGACAGACAGACAGTATCATGAGCTTTCGTGGGCAAAACCCACTTCTTCAGATGATCCTGACCAAACTGTTTGAAATAATAGTAAAGAAGAAAATTGTCAAACACACAGATGAATAGAACTTGTTGGAGAAGAGTCGACCTGGTTTTCGCAAAGGGAAATCATGCCTCACCAATCTACTAGAATTAATTGAAAATATATATATATATGGTCTCTAAGAAGCGCAGGATCATCTGAAGAAGTGGGTTTTGCCCACGAAAGCTCATGATACTGTCTGTCTGTCTGTCTCTCTCTCTCTCTCTATATATATATATAATTTGAACCTAGTTAGGCACTCCAGGACCCTGGACATCCCCTCCCTCTCTGGTTCTGGAAAATATTTGGCTGCTCTTATTTTCTACTTGCCAATATGTAGGAGGGAAATCATTTTTACTTAGATCAGGATTAGATCTTGGGTCTTGCTTTTAGCTTGCCACATTGGCCAGAGTATTGCCATAAATGTACATTTGTTCTGGTTGGCTATGACAGAAAGCAAAATGAGAGACAAGAAAGAGGTAGGAGGAGCTAAGTGCGGGGCGGCAGGGGGAAGAGAATTGATACACTGGGATGGAATAGCAAAAACCATAGTTCCCTTCTCAAAGAGATGTTCAGAATACAACCATGAAGATTGTGAAGTCATTTAGATTTCCCTCCTCATTTTGGTTCCTCAGAACATCTTTTCAGATCAGGAAACAGATGGACCAGAGGTCTGACAGTAAATTTTTAGGTTCCAGATTATGTTGTTCATCGTAACAGCCATGATAGCGATGTTAATGCTGGTGTGGTGACAGCCCTGCTCCCATCTCCCTGATATAATGATTAAGATTTTGTCTACACTGAGGATTTGCCTTCTTTTCAGCACTTGGAGGCCAGGTATGAGTTATGAGCTGCACTAGTGCAAACTCCTAGTTTAGATAAGCTGATGTAAGCCATGATTTGTGTCAGTGCAGCTTATCTACGTTTCATGCAGAAGTATGCTGCAGAGCTAACAGTAGCTCTGACTGTTTACAATAAGGATTTGCACCAGTGGCTGAAACAAAAGGCAAATTCTCAGTGGAGATCATGCCAAAATCTCCAAATGCTCCCCAGAAAAGAAACATCCAGAAGGACTAGCAACTTTTCCAAACTTGCCAATCAAAGCGAGTTTCAAATCAGTAGCACTCATAAACAGATCATCTTCTTACAATGGGTCTGAACTGTTACAGTGATTCCGTAATTTTATAAGACTTGAAAATCTCTGATAAACAGTTTTCATAATTCAAGCAAACTCAATTAACAATCATTTCACTCATGATCGTTTTCTTTCAAAAGAACTATTTAACAAACATATATAAGATTAAAATGACCTTCCTGCCTCCTTTCACCCATTTCCAGGAATTAAGGGATTTCAGGTCAGGGTACGGTTTAGTACAAAAGCTCATGACACTTTAAGCATCTTAATTTTACAGGACCTCTAATTCATCCATCAACACAAAGGAAACTAATACTGGGAATTCCTACCAGTAACAATAGGTATCATGGGACAGAATTTATTTCAGTGGTAAAACCTACTCTGAAGATTGTTCTTAATAACATCATCTAGTAACGAATGATTGAAGTTTAAAAATTATACACTTTGGATAATTCCTCAAAACATAAGAAAAAAAAATATTCAGTTGTCATATCTGACCTAAATTAAAACAAAATTCATTTTGACACAAAAATTCCTTGTGTATTTCAGAAGATGTCAAAATTCATTTCAAAATTCAGCTTTTACAAAAAGTTACAAAACACAAGATTTTAATTTTAATGAATATTATTTTAATCTTCTGCAATGTCTGAAACTCAAATATTGTAGTTTCATTCATGAGCTGCAGATGAAGCTGACTAGAAAATTTCTATAAACAAGAATGAAAATGACTAATCTATTATGTATTTCCAAAGTGTGAGAAATAAGAGTAAATGCAAAACAGATATTGTTAATTCTTCAGAGTTTTATAATCTATCAGGGCATAATCAACATAGTTCAGAATATATGACTTATGAAAAAGCATGTTTCTAAATCTCAGTATACTACTAGTGGAGAAAAGAAAGGAGTGATGAGAGAAAAATTCAAAAGGAAAGAAGAAATTGCTCAGATAAAATTAGGGACAGTAAAAAAGGGTACACTTACAAATATACTAAGAAAGAAGTCTGAAAATATGAAAAGAGAAGGATCAATATCACTACATATTATTTCTTAGTCAGGTAAGGGGTCAATATCCTAAAATATTTCAGTAATAACAGCAGTAAATGCATAGCTTATCAGCATTCTGTTACTTTTTTTGGAACGTATATAAAGAATTACTGTAATATCATTAGATCAATCTTTTCCTCCTTGAAAAAACTGCCAGTATAGGCAGTCCCCGACTAACGCGGATCCGACTTATGTCGGATCCGCACTTACGAACGGGGCTTTCTCACCCCGGAAGTCGAGGTAGCGGATTGCTACCTGCGAGCTCCGGGGCGAGAAAGCCCCGTTCGTAAGCTGCTCCGGTGCCCCTGGTC